TGGGCCAGTCGTTGTTTGAAGTTTCACTAGCATCTTGTAATGTAGACAGGGAGATTTGGAGCAACCACATCTTCACATTGATCTTTCACATCTATTGTTATCAGTACTTAAATGCAAATGACTGTTTATAGAGGATGAGGAAATATAAAACATTTTTATTAAAGATTAGTTTGGTTTTGGGATTTCCACATGGCCTGTTCAAAACCTGCTCAAACTACAAACTGAATACAAACAGAGGACAAACAGCTTCTGATACCAAAAAGTGTGTCCCTTAAATACAGACTATTTATGTATCTATTCATTTAGATGAAGTTAAACACTTAAACTACGTCTTTTTGGCTACTTTTATTTCACCTTTTTGTCTTATTGCTGGACATCAGTAGTTTTTTTCCCCCTCTGACTTCAGTTTATTTCCCTCCACAGCTGACATTGAACACGGGCGTTCATAAACCATCTAGCACTTGAGACTTTTCAGACTAGATTTAACAATCCAGCATGAGATCTCTCTTCCACCTCCGTCCTTCTCCCTCTTCCTCTCTCTCTCTCAATCTCACTTTATCTCTCGCTCTCCATCCCTCCCTCTCTGTCCCGCGCTGTCCTCCCAGCCATCTGTCATGTGATGTTTATGGGCCCTTTTGCTTTTGTGTCCTGATGACCACTGTCACAGAGAGCTACCCATTACCGATGCGGCCTGATGAACGATGTTACCCAGACGCCTCGCTGACACCCCTGTGTCCTTGGCCGCAGAGACGCTGCCTCGCTCACCAGCGCGGGCCAGTAAAGAATGAGGACAGGGGGGGACCTCTGGGAGCTGGACTGAGGACCTGTCCGTCATCCTGCCGACAGGATACTCACCCCCCCCCCCATCTCCCCCTTCTCCCACCGCACCACCGTCTTCCCTCTCCTCTTTATCCAGCCAATGGAAATATGGGGCTGGTCAGTGATGTTGTCATTAATCCTGAGCTACTGAATAGTGCCCTTGCCTTTCACCTGAATATATATCTACATCTTAACAGACACAGAGAGGGACCCTCGCTCCCCTCCAGAGGCCACAGAAGGGGCCCTAAAGGGTTAATGTAGGTACAAAGAGATGATGAATGTTGTCCAGGCTGATTTTATCTGTCAAATAGAAATGTTAGTGCTTCTTCTGATATTTTATTCAATACATTTACAGGTAGCGCAGCCAGCTAGAATAAAGTTTTATCGTGTAGTTTTGAGAGTGGTACATATAAGTGGTACTGATGTGATTTTTTTTTTTTTTTTTTACAGTGCTGTTAAATCATTTTTTCAAAATTGTGTGTTCTCTCGGCTGCACTTGAAATTGGACACTTCCACTGGTAGATTATCATCTATCAAATATTGGCTGGGTTAAAAGGGTCGGATCTAAATGCAAACGTACTAGTTCAGTGTTGTGGAGGTCAAAAGGTGTGTTTGGTGAAAGCAGGCTTCTGACCATCAAGGTTAAATACAAGTCTATAAAAGTCTATTTTTCCTGAGATTGGTAATCAAGAAAGGCTGTTAAAATATCTCTAACATGCAGCCAAGAACAACAGAAAGGGGTTTCCAGGAAAATGTGAGTGTCAGATTTGAGGGGTTGTGAAATAATCAACAGAATAAAAATGAAATAAATAGAATTTACCTTTTATCCAGAACAACAAACATAAATAAACTCAAGGTCCACTTTATTTAGCCCAGAAAGTTTATACACAGTGAGCAGCAAATGCAGAATGTTATCAGTTAAATAATGAATTTTCTTAGGTCTTTACTCTAATATTGGCCTTTTATTGTAAAACACTGATAACATTACATTCAATTATTGCTTTTTAATGAATTCCATAAAACAATCTTAAAAGTCAACACATGCAGCCTGAGACAAGAGGTCATGGTTTCATTTCAAAAGTCACCGACCTTGACCTCTGACCTTAATGTCTAAATTTATTTTCCAATTTTCAAACTGTTTTGACCTTACTTTTTGCCCCCTTTGGAGAGATTGTGACCTGCACATCACCTAACCAAAGCTTTATGAGTCTCTGCAGTTTATCATGATGGTCAAACTTGTCAAAGTTGTTTCAGTTTGGACTTAAGAAAGGTGGAACAGGTTACTGAAGCAGAGAAAAAAACAACAGAAAAAAATAATTCTCCTATAATGTGAACAATCTGCTGGACACAATAAAAAGCGTATTCAATAAGTGAGGCCTTCTTCCCTCTTGTGCCCCCCCTCCTCCTCCCTCCCATGTTGTCTCTATGAACGTCTTTACTGGCCAATGAAGCTGCTGATGAATTCTTAAGCAGATCACACTGATAATTGTATTTCGTAACTGTCAGTTATGCGAAGGCTGCCAGTGTGCCCAGGAGCTATTTGTGTCTCAGTCTGTCCTCTACACACACCTTGCCCCCCCCCATCCCACCCCACAGACACACACACACACAATCACCAGGGATGTGCTTACTGTCTCCGGCCTGGAATTACTCAATCAGGAGGACACATTTATGGATGACACCTTTATTACAATTAATCAGGCGGACTTGATTAAGAAAGTTATTCCTCCCCTTCATTGAGAGTTACACAAGTGGCTCTGCTGCATATTCTAATTTATGTCCCACTGAGCTCTCGGTCGCTGATAGACAGAAGAGCAGACAGATTGCCAGCCATACGAGACACGTGGATGCGTGTGTGTGTGTGTGTGTGTGTGTGTGTGTGTGTGTATGTGTGTACAGCCTCCACTCACATCTACACACCGAGGAACACATACATGGACACAAACAAACACATTCCCCGATCATTCTGTCATGCACAACTCTGCTTTCGCAAAGAGTTTAATAAATGACTTTAATTGGCTGTAGAGATGTGCTCGCTAAAGGAGGCTTGAATATTCCCTTTCCCTTTCTTCTTGTCTCTTTCTTTCACTCCCTTTAACACACACACACACACACACACACACACACACACGCTCTTGAATGAAGCCATCTCTTTACCTTTACTCACAGTTCTTGGGTCTGCTGTGGCTAATTAGTCGAGTGGGGTTTTAGGTTTGGTAATTAGGCGGAGGTAGGAGTGACGGGGGCTCGGGGAGTTGGGGAGTTGAGGGGGTCTGACTGACTCGCAGAGAAAGAAACTGGACTGTCTGGATCCTGGCAGCACCGAGCAAGCAGCCAGCCAGTGTCCCTCAGGCGCCTGGAGGTAGACTACCGTCCCACACTATGAGGGTGATGTCTTTGTTATGTGGCACATGTTCCAGAGAGGGGAAAGTGTGGAAAAGAAAAACGGTTTTATGAATAAAAGGGACTTTTGGAGAGTTGCACAAACTGAAGTGTGTAATTAAATCTCTGAAAACTATACCGCTCACTGATTGGATTTTTTGAAATTGACATGCATGCACAAAAAAAGTTGTAATTTCCTAAATGTTGATTTCAAGAGTAATTATTTAGTTTTTGCTTTTTTTTTAAAGGGTACCTATAAAGTCTGAAAAAATGAAGGAAACATTTTCACCTTTTTAACCTTTGCCAAACCGCAGCTCCTGTAGCCACAATGACAATCAAGGCTTACTGCTAAAGGCTAAAACCTAAAGTCACAATAGCACAAAAAAAAGGCTCAAAAAGTCTGCAGACTAATGCAGCAACAATTAGCTTTAATGTGCTACTAGCTATCATGAGCTACCGGTCCGACCAGAGCAGGTGAGGCAGCAGAAAAACTCCTGCGTGTATCACATTGAGAAATGGTGCATTTTGATTATTAAAAGCTCATAATTTATCCGTCAAAGTCAAAATGTGGTAATTATTCTTGCAAAAGTTAAAACAGCTGACTTTGTTACACCAACACCAATATGAGGAAGTCTGTGAAACTCTACATTCAGTGGCATTTCTGAGAGGCATTAATTCATTGGCAATTTCAAAGCTGCAAAAAACAACAGAAAAAAATAATGAACAAGGTAATGAAAATTATATTTGAATAAAAACCCATTCCCAATTGTTCCTATTCTATGCAATTATTGGATTGTACTTGATGTACTGCTCTGCATTAAAGTCGTTCACATCTGCATTAAGGTCACAAGTATAAGCTTTGTACCTCCTTCACTTCACTTTCATATACATAGCTGTCTAAATTTAACAGGGACATTAATGACTGTCACTGAGAACCAGATATCTATAAATGAAAGAGACACTTAGCATAATTCCTCTAGTGAAGTCATGTTTCCAAAGTTTCGCCTTCACACAGAAGTCTGTGAATGCGTCTGAAGAGCGTCTCTGTCTTTAATGTCTTGTTTATGCGCCACAGTTCCAGGTTGCTTCAATACGTTGCCAGTTAGCAGCCTCCGACTGCAACACAATCCAATTAAATAAAGAGTGTTGTCTCTCCAGGTTCCTGTGTTCTCTAATTGGGGCTGTGACTGCTCACTAATCAGCAGAGGTACAGGTAGACCCTGGAGGACGCCCAGACGAGGCCTCTCCTGTTAATTGAAGAGATGCTAAAGCTGGCCTCCTCCTCCTCCTTCTGGCTGTGCAACATGGATGCAAACAGAACTCAAGCATGCTAAATGCAACTGAACATGCATGTGCATCATCACGTTTCTCTCCGTTAATGCGGCTGGCATGTAAGAGCTTGCTTTAGGATCATAATGCCGGAACAAACAATGATGTTACAGAGGTGAACGCAATTATTTAACAGCTGATGATCACTTAAACATAATGCATTTTGTTATTCAACTTCAATTATGATATTCAATTACTATTTTAATATTGCAGATAGCAATATGTCCCACACTTCTTTAATTGAGTAAGTCAAACATTTTAGCTCGCTTTGTAAAAGACGAGAAGGAACAGGAAAGGCCAGCTTAAGAAAATACGTGATTTCCCAGATAAAGCAAACAATAGATGCAATCTATCATATAAACAAAACCACAGCAGGCCTTTCCAACAAGAGATGTTCCAAGCAGGAGCAGAATTTAATGATTTGGGGGGAATCAAGTATTGACAGGGAAAAAAACGAGGAGGATACTTTCTGCAATTCATGTATTTTTTTTGTTTTAGTGTTTCAGATACAGAAGCTTTATTTTAGCTTTGCAGATATGATTTGTCTAAACAATCTATATCTGGATAATTATCCATAGAAATGTATGCAAATAATATAACAGGGGAAAAAAATGTGAATCAATGTACCTAAACTGAAATAATGACCTCTGTCTAATGTCTAATACTATCACTGTTTTTTTGACTTCCTTCACTGTGGATTGAAAACGGCCTCGGCCTGGTGTGTTTCTGATTTCCTGCACCGTCTGGTGAAGGTAGCAGCTTTGCATGCTGGGGTCACACCTGTAACGTATTTCACACTGGGTTATATTTTGAGTGGCCACCTGGATGAGGAAATAACATGTTCACAGTGTATGAACACTACAGCCCTCCCTGCCAGGTAGGAACAGGTGTTTGCTTGAGACTACATACGGACATCGCTGCAACATGGACTTTCTGCTTCTTCCTCTTCTGCAAAGAAAACAAGGTTTATCTAATAATGTTTGATCGTGTGAGGATTTGAAAAACTTTGTATCCTGTTATAATAAACACCTCTCTTTAAATAATGAAAATCTTTGGGGTCAAAGTAGGAATTTTCTTCCATGTGAATTATCTTCCTAAACATATGTTCAGCTGCTTTGTTTACTGTTACAAATAAATAAAATACAAAAAAATGGAAATGGAAAAAAAACATGTCAGAGGTGATTTCACAATACATTCACTATGAGTGTTTTTTTTCCCTTTGCAGTGAAGAAAAGTAATGGCCTTTTCCAGTCCAACTCCTGGTTAGATAGACTAATTTTGTTTTATTATGTGCAGCTCGTGGGCATGTGAATGGAGAGATTGATTGTGTGAATGCTGTTTCTGTCAGCCACAAACAGGCCATGAAATACCAAGCACACCTGGAGCTGCACTCACTTTTGACAAGCACATACCAATGTAAGCCCCCCCCCTATTAGAAAAACAATGAAGTCCATCATAAAACATTTATAGTAGATAAAGTGCCTGAGAGCGCTAAAAGTGAGCATGTTATGGCAGCCAGTCTGAAATACAGTCAAGATACGGACTGGTACCAGGATGTGGGTACATCAAAACAGGGGGAGAAAAATCTGGAAGGAATTGCAAAGACTTTGTTCCTGATTTTTTTTAATACGGACATTTGTAGACATCATAATCCAGGCTGAGCTGGTATTCTCAGATTATCAGGGACGGTTTACCCTTCACATTAAAACACTTTAATTGCATAAAGATTCAACAATCAAGATAAAGTTGTTATTCATCTGTTATCATAAGGCATTAACTATTATTTAGTCAATCATCTTACAAAAATAAAGAACACCTCTGTTAAACAATGATTCAATCACAACATTCAGTCAGGTTCAAGTGTTATCTGTCGTTTAGTGCGTTTGTTAAATCACAGCTTACTGTTGCTAACAGCGGGTGGTGACACTTCCACCACCACCTTGCCCAGATTTTTCCCCGCATACATGAAGTCCACGGCCCTGAAGACGGACTCCAAGCCTACAAACCTCTTTCCTCTGACAAATCCCCACAATCCACCTCACACTGCAGCTCCCCCTTGGCAAACATCTGCATCATGCTGCCCAGAGCCTCCCTGTAGTCGCTGAAGAAGTGCGGCAGGAAGAAACCTCGGACGCTGGCCGACTTCTGGAGGAGCCTGACGGGCAGGGTGTCCCCTCTGAAGGGCGGGAACCCCGATGCACTCTGGTACCCCGAGATGAAGCCGATCACGATCAGCCGACCCTTAGTGGCCAAACTTTTCACTGCCAATTCCAAGACACTGCCTCCCACAGACTCATAGACCACGTCCACGCCCTTCGGGTATTCTTTCTTCAACGTTTTGGCGAGGTCCTCTGAGGCGTAGTTGATTGGCCGGTCGCAGCCGATGGACTTGAGGAAGCCGGCTTTCTCGTTGGACGAACAGGTCCCTATCACGTGACAACCGGCCCGTTTGGCAAACTGCACGGCGAACTGTCCCGTTCCTCCAGCGGCCGCCGTGACCAGGACCGTCTCGCCTTCCTTCAGGTCGCCCAGACGTTTCAGGGCGATGTAGGCCGTGGCGCCGCTGACCAGCAGGGTGAGGAACTCTGGCTTCACCGCGGGGACCGGAATACTCTCCTTGGCTTTCACCACCGTGTACTCGGAGAACGCACCACTGGTGAAGTACGCTACCATGTCCCCGACAGTGAAGCGGGAGCTGGCGCTAAGACCAAGGCCGACGACCTCGCCGATGCCCTCGAAACCGGCGTCGAAGGGGGGCTTCACCGAGGGGTCGTACCGGCCTGATGTGTAATTAATATCAGAGGCGTTGACTCCCACAAAACTGAAAAAAAGGAAACAAGCATTCTGGATTAAAAAGGGGAGAAAATAAAATCTGTTACAAGATTTAATAAAAAAATAATAATAATTCACACACAGCGTACAGAAGCTTTGATGTGGTCATTAGTGTGAGCGACTATTCCCTGAATTCTGTCTGAAGGTCAAGACTTCCTTCTGTCTGCACAGGGCACTAACACTCTGGCTTGTTTTGGAAATGATTCCTTTTCCTCTGTAGGCGAACAGTCCTGCACTGACAGGGCGAAGGTTTGTATCACAAAACACATCGCATGATGTCATGATTCATTGTCTTCAGAGACACCCACAACAAAAACTGCACCTTTACAAAAATCTCAGAGAGAGTTGCTTCTTGCCTCGACACGAAAAGACGACGGCAGTTTTCATCTTACTTTGGTAACGTGCTGGAAACAAATATGTGAGAAAGGAATGTATAAATAAATCATTTACTGTCTGTTGGAGCGGCGCGCACGCTGAGCCTCATTACTGTGCATGTCACACGTGTACTTTGAGCTTAGAGATAATGCTTCTGTGGTTTACTGTTGGGTCACAATGATATCACAAAACGCCTTGATTTGACTGCTTTACATCACACAAGAAACACTTTCCTCGCAGGGAAATATCACGTTATCTTAAAAGTTACAACCATTTCAGTACACAAAAGTAAAAAAACACAGGTTTTTGTAATATTCTGATGTGACAATAAAGCCACAATAAATGTTTCAAGAAACATTTGAATGGGATAATTGTCAGGAAATGTTTTTTCTGTTTGCCTGACTCCAAAGCTCTAACACTAACACTGGTTACAGTAACATTTAAATATGATAACATCATAGATATTATTGTTGTGTGTGTGTGTGTGTCATTACGACAAAAACCACTCCAGAATATGTGAAGGTCTGAAGGCCTTTATTTGGATTTCTAGAAAACCAGACATTTTAATTTAAGTAAATCATTTGTTAGTGGTGAAATGTTATTAAAAAGTAGCTTTAAAGAAAATAGAATCATTTCTGAACAGGGCCTCGTGATAAAGTGTGGAGAACATCTTTAAAGCTCATTACAAACGCTCTCTTTTTGTTTTTCACGTGCAGCTGGTGTATTTGTTTGTATTTGACTCCCTTCAGACGAATAAAAGGGATCACACCACATGCAGAAACACTGCATTCTTACATTGAAAATATTTCCTCTGGTGATGTCATCTGTAACATTTACAAGAAACACAAAATAAATGTTTGATTTCCTCTTTGTTCAGGATCAGGATCTTTGCAATGATCCATTTCTCACTCTGAGACTCTGCGCGCAACACTTTCATTTTTCAGATTTGGTTAAGGTTGCACCGATGCTGTGCAATATGGGACTGTTATTAACTTGCGATTTTGTACCACAACTCCACAAAACATGAGACATTCATTCTCCTCTGCTGGTTTAAAACATCTTCTGCAGTGACACGGTCAAAGGTCCTCGTTCACAAGCAAATGATCCCATGCAAGACAATAAGACGCTGAAGTCTGAAGCTCTTACTGATATTGTATATTTGACTGGCAGTAAATACCAAAAATAACCCTGAGGTGAACGTGTGTCAGCTTTATTTTACATTTGAAATCAGATCAGATACATGCACTTGGTTAAAACGTATCGTCAATTTAAATTAGGATGAGAGATAGGGAGAAAGAGTACTTTAAAATAAACATTCATGCCTTTCCACCTTTCATGAGCACATGCAGTTTATCACTATTATTCTGTCTATTTCAGGTTGAACAGGATCATGGGATAACTCCTCAGTCTTTTGTACCGATGAATACAATGTTGGCTTCTGCAGCTTTAAATCAGACAAATGTTACTGTAAAACACTACATCTCCTTCTCCATCATCTGCATCTCTTGATGCCAGTCTGACTTTCTGTTTGCAGTTTGGTGACGTAGAGAGAGACAGGAGGACAGAGAGGGAGAGAGAGAGGGAGAGAGAGGGAGAGAGAGAGAGAGATGCCGAGATGGATTGATAGACAAATGCAGAGAGGGCGGAACTTGGAATTACAGTACAGCGCTTATTCCTCACGTATTTTGCCATCTTGTGATGATGATGTTGATCGCAGGTGCTGGACATGGGTAAATCGAGGTAAGCGGAAGCCTTTTTTACAACTTCTCAACATTTATTGTGATTGATCGGGTGCACATAATGATCCACAAATAGACTCTGTGGGTCCCGTATCGCTGTTCCAAACGCGCGGGGAGAAAACTGCACTAACATTGGGTGCCCACCTTTCAGAAAGGCACACACAACAACTTACCGATTCCTGACGAGCAGGTCCGCGTCTCCGGGTGTAGGCACCGCGACGGTTTGCATGGCAACGGCCTCCCTGAAATTCGGACTCAGCTTGTTTACCACCAGCTTTTTCATGCTGCTGGGTATGGAGGATCCTTGGAAATCCATGAAGTGCGCTGAGTAGGACAGATCTATGATTGTGCGCCGCGCAGCCGGATGAACTCCTGAAAGTGCGTCGGTGCCTCTGCGCCCCCCGCCGATCACCGATACCGCTCTCCTGCCGTTTCTCACCAATAGCAGGCTCGACATTGCTCCGATATGTGACAAAGTTCACAGGCAACTTGGCTCACGTTTGTGGACGTGATAAGCCCGCACTGCCATTTAGCCTCCGCGCAGCGAGCAGGCAGGCCGGGCCGGGCAGAACCGGCCAAAACGCGAATTTAAACCAAAAATATAAACGGCGATGCTCTTTAGCGTTACACTCGGTTTCCTACGCAAGGACAACAAACAGTGAATCGAGCATTTAGGATTAAATTGGGTGCACTGTTGTTGTGGTGCAGCCTTGTGAGTAGCACAGCAGCGCCCCAGACTTTGTCGTCGGAGTCCCTCCCCTTCCCGGACACAGCACTCACTTCCTAGTAAGGTGAAACAAATCAATCCTCATCTCCCAGTGTATCCTTAACCGTTTTCCTCCCACGAAAACAACACACACACACCGCTGGCTTCATAAATACAGTTAGAAAATACTAAACTAAAGTCACAGGTCATGTTTTGTAATAGCGCTCTCGGTGAATTCGCGTTTTATTTTGGAGGGCTGCAGCCGAAAACGGTTGTGTCCACATGTACACCTGTAACCAAAGCGTGCGCCAGCGATTTGTGAAACATTTCTTTTCTGTGTGTTTCACGCAGTGTGATCATCTATTGTCACCCGACTCTCATTTTCTGAAAGGGATCTATTCAAAAAATAACGTGGGAGTAGTAGACGCTGCAACATATTGGATCATTGCACCCTCGATCCAACCCTCCACCTCGTGTTCTGTCAGAGCCTCGCTTTAAGAAGCTAAATCTGACATCTGAGTTGTGACAAGCTAATACTTGATCGGTACTTGTTGTTGTTTGTGACATGTTCCTATAAGTTTGGGTTTCAGTTGTTTTCCTTTAAGTTCCGAAAGGGTCCTTTTCCTTTGTCGGAGGTTTGGGATTTTTTTGAAGCAAAGGGAGAAGAGAGAGAGAGAGAGAGAGAGAGGGGGAAAACAAGACAATTAAAAAGATTGACAGGTAGGCTCCTCTGTCAGGGGTGACGCTTGTGGAGAGGGGAGGAGTAAAAATGTAGCAGGAAAAGCCACTCGATGCGTCTGTCTATCAGTTGAGACTGTCTGAAACAGCTTCTGGATCCACCGCGTTTCCATTTTTTTCTGTTTTTTGGGAGACCTCGGATCAATCCCTGGAGTTTTTTGCTCCCTCTTTAAGGCTTTTTTAAAGAGACAAATATTTGAGTCCATGTCGTTCTGATCTGTTGTAAAGCGGAGCTTGGATGCGCCTGCGTCTTATTTGTTTCCCCTCTCTCTCAAGTGATATCCTCACCACCGCATCAACCACCCCTCCAAAAAAAAAAAAAAAAAAACCCGACTCCGTCCAGGATGCGATGATATGAGCGGTGGAGATTATTTCCACGACTCTTAAAACGTAAGTAAGAGAGAAAGCCTGCTCGTGCCGTTTATTTTTTTTTCAATGGGAGAGAAGGAGGGACGGAGGGGAGGGAGAAAAAAGTCTCTGCCGGACTGGTGAGGCTGGATCCGGGCTGAGGTGGCGTGGTGGTGACGGGACTGACATTAACCCATCTAATGCCTGTCTGTGTGTTTTCCCCTCTCCCCTCTCTCTCTTTCAGGTCCCTTTCAAACGAAGAGAAGGAAACACGAGGATACATTAATTATCAGAGCTCACACGGGACTTATTTGTTTGCTCACCGATAGAGTTAATTTATTTTTTTAGTTTTGGTGTGCGTAAAAGGCGCAGCAAAGTCTCGTCCCCCTCTGAACAGCACTGGAGATTAGAAGCATTTTTTCCAGGGGGGAGTGAACTAAAAACTTGGGTGCTTTCTTGCTGCTACTTCTTTTTCTTTTTCTTTTTTTATACCCTGTCACGAGAGACATGAAGGAAGATGATCTTTGATGGACACGAAGGTGTCAGGAGCTGGCCGAATCCCTTTGTAGTTGTTCTGCTTATTGTCGAAGCCGATCCAACCATTAAGTCCAGAAAAGAGCAGCAAGCTTGAAAAAGAAGATATATTTTTTCCAGCTCCGAGAACGAAACCTCCTTCCCCCCGAAAAACGGGATGATTTTTCAAAACTAACTGACTTTGATTTGTTTCTAATTCCTGCATGAGAAGCACCGTGGAAAGTGACGGTCACTATGCCGAGGAGAAAGCAGCAAGAGCCGCGGCGATCAGCAGGTATAACACGCTTCTTTATAGCGACCATTTCCCATCCAAGTAGCCAACTGCTTTTTATTTCCAGTGCCGAATGTACATATCTCCTTCTCTTTCACACACTTTACTTGTTCTGCATGCTGACATTTTTTTTTACAACTCTGTTATTATAATTTCATTTGTTGTGTTATTAACACAGCGCGCTGCTCCACCTCTGACCCGCACTTTGTGTTTAAAATGTGTCTTAATTGCGCAAATGACGCACTTATCTGCGCAATGCCACTTTGAGATTTTTTTTTTTTTTTTAAATCCTCCTTTGCCAGGAAAGTTCTCTTAAGATTGGTGAGATAAACTAAATGGCATGTTATGGGGGATAAAAGGGAGCTTTTGAGGTTCAAGAGTGAGTAATGATGAATAATTGACTGGGAAAAAAAGGGGGAGAAAACTGGTGAGAGCCGGTTTTTCCTTTCTTTCTGTTTTATTAGAGGATTGCCATCCTTGATTTGATGCGTGATTGATCGCCTGTCATGTGGCAGTCTTTGATCTATTCATCCCCGATAAACATCAATAAATCCCTCCATGAAGACAGGCATGTCTCTGCGAGGTTTAGCAACTGACACACACACACACACACACACACACACACACACACACACACACACACACACACACAACACTCCTGGTGTCTCAACCAGGAAGCAAAAAGAGAAAAAAAAGTTGTGGATTATGGTGGAAAATCACCTTATTTTATGTAAAGGGAAGGTACTAAAAGCAGATGAAAGGAGAGAGTGTATGTTGAATAGATCAGAGGGAAAATCTACTCAAACACTCCTCTTTTAATCAGGTGTTTGATTCCCCTCATCTGCCTTTTCTTCATAGAGAGACACATTGAGGGTTTTCTCGGGCTTCCACATCCAAATTCTCCCCACATTCACTGTAAGAATCAGCCCAGTAATGAAATCAATATCCACTGCTGGAGGGGAGTATTATATTTGCAATGTGACCAACTGATAAAACCAGGTCTTGGCAGACGACCGACAAGGTTGACTTCTAGTGGTTTGGATTTGGACTCCCCCTTTTTTTTCTCCCTTGTCTCCCTGCAGCCTTTAAACAAATGTAAATGAGTGACAGGGGTTTCTACCTCTGTGCTAATGAGGCCGGGCCTTTGAAGTTAGGCATTAACAACTGCAGTGAACAAAAGACAGTTACAGAATTTTAAAGAGATTCTGAAATATGAGGTGCAAAGCGGGTCGAACAGGAGGGCCAGCATACGAAGACTTTGAACTCAGCAGGTTTTTATCATTGAAAGCGGGGAGCTGGTGGAGATGATGGTGGTGGTGGTGGTGATGAGGAGGAGGATGAGAAGAAGTGTAGGATGGAGAACATTCAACCGGTGCTCGCTTTCCACTTCTTTCTTTCCTTTTTCGCCTTTCTAGCAAAGTACTTTTTGCATAATTTTTGGCCCACACTTCTCAGAACAGTGCCAGGGTTAAGATGTTAAGCCTCACTGTACTTTTTTTTGAGTGTGTGTGTGTGTGTGATTGTGGTTGTTTGGTCTAAATTGTCCCGTCAAAGAGGTTAGCCATGGTTCGAGCCAAGTGACTCCCGTTAGGTTCCTGCATGTAGATGGAGGCATGAAAACATGACATCTCTGTGACCCCCTCGCTCTCCTCCCTTTTATTTTACAACACACACACACATCATTGATCCATTCCACTGTCCACTGAGTGCCATGCGCATCATGGGTTGTAATGGTCAATCACAGTTTGGCAGTTGGGATGCTTTCCATTCTTCCATGAACATGACAGTCAGTCAGAGATAACGCCCTCCACTCCATGCTCCCAATAACAACAAAGCACACACACATGTACACACACGCTAGGCTAGCCTGATGCTCCACTGGGAGCTGGTACTGACCTGTGGCTCTCTCACTCTGCTGCTGCTCACATGAGGAAATTGCTCATGGTGTGACTGTGCATGGAAATCAGAGCTCAGACAATTAAAACAACAAAAGCAGACTTGTCTCGACAGGTTTCTCTTTTTTTTAATTTCCCTCTACCTTCTTGAAGAACATATTTTTTTTTACATTACTGTTGTTTGAGAGTGTCAAGGCCAAATCCTCCACAAAAATATCCAGCAACCAAATAAATAAAAAAATCACAATTGCGGAGTTTGGCGATACATTTGATACATTTAAAGGGTGAAGTGTCATAAAGGCTGCATATTATTTAATGACTGTCATGGATTTGCAGTATAATACACAACTGTAAAAAAAAATAGTTTGCCTTATTTTTCGCTAAATGTTAATTTGTCTTAAAATTTTAGAGGAAATTTGACTTATGTTATATGAATAAAAAAATATTTAGACACTTCATATTTTTTTTACTCAAGCAACATTTCCCTTAAATGATTTTAAAAAGTATTTTTCATCACAAAGTTTGGGAGTGTGTGTGTAAATGTGGTTCTAGTTATCCACAAAAAATAGGCAAGACACAATAAATGTATTTAATGGATAAAACCTATACGGCTGCCATTCAACTTTAAAAAGTGTTTCATAGTTTTTCCCTCTTAAGAAACTTAAAAAATGCAAACAACAGACAAGATTAAAAAAAAAACTTTTTTCAAAACTGCTTAGGAAAGCGTGTAAAAATATATACATCTGTTATTCCTTTTGTCAGCGTTATTTCCGAGCGTTTATCGTGCACAGATGAATGCTCCTGTGTGGGTTATTACACTTGTAGCCTCACCTCATCACTCGTTTGAAAAGTGGAGGGGGGAAGGCAGGAACAATTAAAAGTCAGGATGGAGTGACGCCGTCTTTCATCCCAGACAGGCTTAGAAAGTCTTACTAGAGGAAGACGAGGAGGAAGAGCAGATAAGATAGTCGCTCTTATATCTGTGGTTAATTATAAGAAAGACAATGTGTGTGTGTGTGTGTGTGTGTGTGTGTGTGTGAGAGCGTGTGTGCGTATGGATGGGGGTGGTGGGGATGAGCTTCCTTCCCGTTGGCTTCATTAGAGAGCCCTAATTATCTGTGGAGCTGATGGATTTGTGACAGGCCCTAACGATTAATGCTGACAAATTCAGTAAGGTGTCAAGTCCGCAGCTGCCTTGATGTAATCAAGTTGATATTATACAGTCCCCATTGCCCCTAGTGCAGCACCAACTCAATTTGCCTGTGCAGGTGACAAA